TCCTCCCCCTCTCCCTCTCGGGGAATGGAGCCGCCCGATTCGCCGGTCAGCACGTGGCGAAGCGCACAGTCGAGCACACCCAACTTCAAAAAATGATAACAGGCCGATGAGGACAAACAACGCATAGGCACGGTACTCTATCTTGCGCAAAGACTACGATTGCAGCCGATGCGGACACCTTTTTATACGAGTTGAGGTGCGAACAGCCGGGCCGTTCCACTGTCTTCGTTCATGTTGTCACGTCAACACCGAAATTATTTGAACCTTTTTTTTTTTTTTCCGTTTCTGCATGATCTGATTTGATGTAATTTTCCTTACATCACGACCGGGGTTACGAAACTTTCCTCGGGAGGTAAATGAACTGCCGTCGACGTGTCCCCGCCGGTGGTGGTCGACCGAAAGGAGACACATGCATATACATGTATATACATGTATATGCATGTGTCTCCTCTCGGTCGACCACCACCGGCGGGGACACGTCGACGGCCGTTAGTTTACCTCCCGAGGAAAGTATATATTTACATATATATATATATATAATATATATGTATACAGGGTAACCGGCGTTCAGGACGGTCCGAACGCCCGAACCCGAACGCCTGAACGTATTGGACTCCTTGGGGATGCGTTCGGCCGTTCGGGCCGAACACGGACCCAAAAAACAAAAAACAAAAAAAACAAAAACGTCATCAAAAAAATCTGAAAAAAAGATATGTTATGGAGAAAAATAAATTAAACAAGATTTGCCTGAGCATTACATCCGAATTCCTTACCAAATTTGAAATAAAAATAAAATACGGAAAACAAATACTAATAATAAAAATAAATAAAAATAAAAAGAGAATTAAATTTAGTGAGTGCGCGAGCATGTTTTCGACACCGCCATCTTTGGAGATTTTTCATTTCTCTTGGGAATAGCTAAATTCCCTGAAAATTTACAGATATATACTTAACATAATATAAAACCCACTAAAAAAGTTTCAAAAAATAATAAAATTGTTTAGACCCCGAACTAAAGTGAAAACAAAAAGTAAAAAGTGAAAAAATACGTAAGCGAGCATGTTTTGACACCGCCATCTTTGGCGATTTTTAATTCATTTTTGGCATAGACAAATGACTTGAAAATTTACAGGCATGTACCTCATGTCATAGACAACTCACAAAAAACATTCAGAAAAAATAATTATTTTTAGGCCCCGAAATCATTTTTCGCGGGGGCCGAACGCCGTCGGGTCCGGACCCCGTACGGGACCCCGAACGCCCGTACGTACGGAGGTCTGCCCGGGGACCTCCGTACGTACGGGCTGGTGACCCTGTATATATATATATATAACTTTGTATATTTATATACAAAGTTATCATAGCACAAACGCAAAGAAACCAAACGACAAAAAAAAGTGATCACCTCGACGAAGGGTTCGTAAACCGATGAGTCGGACCTTCGTCGCCGTCACCTACGTTCGCCCCCCTCTGAGCAAGGACACCCACTAGCAACTCTAGAACACTATTGCCACCCCGCATTGATTCGCCCACGTCCCCTATCCGAGCAGCGATTGCACACCCCGCATCTGCGGTAGCTTTGGCAAGGGTGGTGGCCGCTTTGTCCAGGCCATCGTAGTAAAATCAAAAATAATCCATGGCCCTGCCCAAACTCGACACGCTGCTGCCAGGATCTTCCTTTCTCGCCTTCCCGCTGGTTGTCCGCCTCGATTTAGCAGAATTGTCTGACTCCTCCGCGCATCTTCCATCCGATCCTCCTGCCGGTGTTGCATCTGTTCCAACGCTCGGAAGGTTCTCTGAGGTCAGCGTGTTGTCACACCTAATCGACGACCGATTTAGCTGCCACTGCATAGCGTCCCACACAGCCTTCTCAAACGAAAGCGAGAGACTCTTCTCCTTTCGTTCCTCCGTAGACATATCCCAATACGACGGCTGTCCAGACTCTTCACACTTCTCGACGATGAGCTTGGCCGTCGCTAGCATGTTCGACCACTTCTTGCGGCAGTCTTCACCGCTCATGTGCTTGAAGCCTGCGTCCGCCATCCTATCATTCACCCATGCATACCGGTCTTTCCTCTGCTTGAATCGGTGCTGGTCGTTAGCATCCGCCATAAGGGCATCATCCTCACCCATAAAAATTGCAAGCTTCACCCGCTCATCCAACGTCCATGGGACGTTTGGCTTCTTCTGAGCTGGTGGGCGGCCATTCGCAGGTCGTCCACCGACCGCTCCACCACCCGCACCCTGGCCGTTAACATCACCCTGCCCGCCCATCCAACTTGCGACCATAGGGACGGCGGTTCCTTGCTCTGCCTGACCATCTTCGTCACCCGCTTCCGAGCCGCCCGTGCCTTCATTGTACGCTGACTCCGCGCAAGTCTCGGGGGACACAGGCCTTTCCGTGTCAACGCCCTCCTATGGAGATGGAGAACACCGTGTGCCGAACAACCTCCAAGCGCCCTGGTAGCATTGGGAAGACCAATGCCTGCCACCCACGGCCATGCTCTGTGTGGGCGCTGACGGCATGCCGAAGCCGGCAGCCATGCTCGTGCTTTCTATGCATGCCCGCGATCCATACAAATCGTACTGCTGCTGGACGGACACAGGATGATCACGAACGGCGAAAACGCCGTCTGCCTGCATGTCCCGCGGATGTGGACCACCACGTGGAAAACCCGCATGCATGCTCTCCGGGGACTGCCCAACACACCCTCCACCAAAAAGCGTCGGCGGAGAAACACTGCGTGCAGGGTAGTATGGATGTTGCATGGCCGATGAGGACTGACGCATGGCGGCGAATGATTGCATGCTTTGTGCATGCTGACCTTGATGGGGCCGTGCATTCAGCTGTCCATCGTGCATGTTATCACCGTCGTCGAAACCACCGACGACATCATCCATCCAACCCCCGCGATCCATCGCACACTTGCTAGCTACAACAACGGACAAACAGTAACGAAAGGCGGCACCTTTCGCCACACCCGTGTCGGGGTTGACTACCGACGCCTGGACACAAGCACAATGGCAAGAAACAAAACAAGTGCTTTGTGCAGTGCTTCTCTGCCACATGCTTTGTGCATGCTGACCTTGATGGGGCCGTGCATTCAGCTGTCCATCGTGCATGTTATCACCGCCGTCGAAACCACCGACGACATCATCCATCCAACCCCTGCGATCCATCGCACACTTGCTAGCTACAACAATGGACAAATGGTAACGAAAGGCAGCACCTTTCGCCACACCCGTGTCGGGGTTGACTACCGACGCCTGGACACAAGCACAATGGCACGAAACAAAACAAGTGTGGACAACAACAACAACCCCACTACGAAGACGACGACGAGAACGACTGCTACGGCCACAAGGGACACAACGACCAGTGATAAACCGCCTGCACGCCCCACACCGTGCCCGTTACCCACAATGACAACAACAGGACAATCCGTGAAGGAACACCAGCGACAAAACCCGGAAGCCGAATGTGCTGATGGACTGCCCTGTTCGATCACCACGTGCCCTGTATTCACGTGCTGACGCTCGGCGGGAGGACTGCGAACCTCCAACGATGGATTCCACAAGGGAGGACCTCCACTGCTGAATGGAGATTGTGTGCAGAGTGTGACATAGGACGTTGACGGGGGTGTGTGTGGGACCACCCTCGGAACAAACGACGGGATAGTCGAAGAAACCACCACGTCAGCACACCCGCTTCCACGAAAACAAGCTTGCGCAGCTGCACGTCCCGAGCTGAACACAGGAATCTGTAGTAGAGTTCGATCTGCAGTGGAGGCATCCGAATGCGTCCAATGACAACTCCGGAGACCACGCACGTGCGACATGGCAGCGCATCGGACTGAACGCCCACGGCCGAAACAAGCAATGTTCTGGAGAAAGCGCATGGCAGATCGACCTTCCACCCCACGTCACTTCGAAGAGGACAACCTCGGACAACGAAGGGAGGAAACGCGCAATCGCGGACATGTGAACGACACACAGTGCGATGGACTGTCTGCCTCCTCTCCGCCCCAAGTACTTGTTGCAGATTTCGAAAAAAAACCGTTAACGCACCACAGAAATTTGAACTGCGCGTTTCCGCTTTGCACAATGCAGTGGGACCACAGCGGGGGACCACCTCCAGGGACCACCAACAGCCAGTTCTGATGTCTCGTGCGACATGCACTTCGTTTGTGGGGTCTCGGCCTGGACCAAACGTTTGTCCGTGACGCCCGTTCACTGCACCACTCCTCCACGGCCTCCGATGCCAACGGCTGGTGCTTTGCCCTCCCCACCCTGTTGGAGGGCGTTTTGGAAAAGAGTGCCAGCCGCGGGCGGAGACTTTTCCATCCGCCACCCATGTAGAAACACGGCTGGTGGTCTTTTGGCAACGGCGGTGAGGTCTGAACTCGACGTCGCCAGATGAGGTGGCGAACCGCCTGGCGGCCCGGTGGGGTCCGAAAACGCCCTTCCATGCCAAAACTTTTCCAGCCGCTGGGCGGTGGGGTCCAAGCCTAAGCCTCCCAGACAGGTCAGGTGACCTTTTCTTCGGTAGTTTAGGTTCAGTTGTTAGCCTCCTTAGAGGTGGACCCCACGGGACGGCGGCTGGAAAACCCGCGAGGCCATTAAAAACGGTCCACCGTCGTTGGAATGTGTTTGGCAGATTTTGTTGGCACCCCACCGTGACCGCAAACTTTGGCATTAGAAACGGCCGCACTTGCCCGAATAGGGAAACTTGAAAGGCCAGGTCCGAAATAGGAAACTTCCGTAGGGGCACCGGTCCATGGCCTTCCGTTGTGGCTGAACGCAGGTCCAAAAAGTGGTCCCCTCCACGGATGCGTGGACCATGCCGTCTGGCCCTCCGATGCCATCGGAGAACATGCCCCCCCCCCTACTCTGCTGGGGGCCATGTTTGGAAAAGGAATGCTGCGATCGGGCAGCGATTTTCCAGACCGCCGACCATGTAGAAATGCCCCGTCAGCATTTTGGCAACCCCTTTCCATCACCGGTCGGGTCTGGAAAACCTTTGCAAAGAGGCTTTCCACACCTCTTTCCATCACCGGTGGGGTCTCCAAAACGATCGGGCGCTTTTTTTTTTCCAAGCCGCTGTCCGGTGGGGTCCACCTCTTACTCTTTGCTGTTTGGCAGCATTTAGTCCACTTTCTAATTTGGTTTTTACATGGAAGTTAGTTTTATGGGATGCTGGACCCGGTTTCCAGCCAGCCCAAGCTGGGTAATGGCCCCAGTTTTTCCTCCGGGATGTCATGTGGAGGCTTTCCCGGCCTCCGGTTCTCTTGGAAATAAAACTTTCTTCCGGTAAAAAAAAAAAAAAAAAAAAAGAAGTTGGCCAAACGCAGTTCGCCGCTAGTGGGCTCAGTGAACCATGGCAGATTAGCGAGCCACGTGTGGAACCGGTAGATTCTATCCGTTACACTGCGTCCCTAAGGAGCTCCGTGCGCCCTCCACGTGTGTCTCGGATGGTGTCCGCGTTTTCACTTCAGAATCTGCCTTCCATTCATATGCAGAAGTTGGCCAAACGCAGTTCGCCCCGAGTGGGCTCACTGAACCAGGGCATATTAGCGAGCCACGGACGAATATCGGGGGCTGTCCTTCGAATGTTCACTAGGTACACGTCCACATACATCCTGACGCCGTTCGATTTGTGGACCCACAAAAAAAAAAAAATCCACAACCGAAAGCCGCTCCAAGCGGGACCGGTGGTGTCAGCAGTCCACCAAACTGCAACAATATCTTCCAAGTCCTACGAAAAATCTTTTTTTTTCCTCTCAAAAAATGTTTTTTTTTTTTTTCATTACAGCATTTATAAATACGTGAAAATGCTGTCGGACTTCTAATGTCGAGAGTACTTCTTTTCCCACGTTTTTCTTTTGTTTTTTATTTTGTTCTGTAGAATCAGTGTAGATTACTTTTCTTTTTCTTTTCTTTCAAGTGGTCGGTGGTGGCTACCTCCCGAATATATCGTTTTTTTTTTTCTTTTTTTTTTTTTGTCAGCCTAACTTGTGGCTCCAATCTGTTGGTGGGGAGCATCACCTGCTGGAAATCGGGTCCAGTGTCCCTACCGTCTTCACGGGAATAGAACGCCCTGTAATTATCGCCGTATCTGGGCTGAAAGTTGTGCCAAATACAGCTATAATGACCGGGCGGTCTATTCGGGGCGGTAGTAGACTGAATGCTCGGTTTCTCTGGGAATATAAATCAGGACAAAAGTGAGCAGAAGTCAGCCTCTTCAGTCCTATAAGAACCACCACCCTCCATTCGACCTGGCTCCACTATTCACCACGTGCTAAGCCGGGGTTCCTCCATTTGACCTTTTTTCATTTTTTTTTATTTTTATTTTTTGTCAGCCTATCACCTGCTGGAAATGGGGTCCAGCATCCAACGTGGGAGGCAGGCTTGCCTCCTTAAGTGGAGGCTGGCTTGCCTCCTTTGAGTCCTTTCCCGAAGATCCCGTCTGACGCGACGAGCACTTCGCCAATGTGGGAGGCAGATACAAAAAATAGACAATAAAAAGAAATATAACTGTGTACGCAGCCTGGAGGGGGGAGGGGAACAGAGAGCCCTAGACATGCGTCAGAACGCATTACAGCGGTCTGCTTTTCAGAGGGATAAATTGCGAAATACCCCCGTAAGTTGAGATATATGCCAAAATTCCCCTAAAAGATGTGGGTAGAGCGGAATGCCCCTCTGACAAAAAGCAAAATTTGTGAAATACCCCTAGCGTCCCTTGGACCCCCATCTTTGCAATGGTAGGTACCGGGTACCGTCCAACTTTGCAAAATGCCCCAGTACTTGCCAACTTTTCGTAGGTGCTATAATTGCAAAAGGCCAAGGCCCAAACGGGGAGGTCCAGATTGCAAAGTTGCACACCCGCCTGACAGGGGCACAACACAAACATTTCGGCCCAAAAGGGCATTCCGCTCTACCCACATCTTTCAGGGGCATTTTGGCATATATCTCAACTTATGGGGGTATTTTGCAAATTATCCCTTTTCCAGAAACATTTTATGTAGGTGGTTAGTTGAGCAAGATGCAAGATGAAAGGGCAGGTGTTTTTTTCTCATGTTTTCCAGTACTCAGCAGAGGCCCAAAAGGAAAAAAACATGGTGGTAATCCAGCGGCCTAGCTCAGTTGGTAAGGCACGCAAGTGGCATTCAGGAGGTCTTGGGCTCAATCCCCATTGGCCTCACGTACCTTCCTGGGCAAGCTTGGCGCCCGCCACCTAGAGATATGCCGTTGGTCCCCCGAGTGGCATTGAGCAGAGACTGCTGATGCTCATAGGGGGAGGGGACCGGAGGGGAGGCACAGCGACTGGCCCATCGAAGAAGCTCGGTCCTGATGCTACCGGCCGACCCGTGGCCGGTATCGCCCACCTGCTGTAGCAGGTATCGCACCTGCTGGTGGGTGCAGCTCCCACATGTTCCCTCGTTTGGAGGCTTGAGCACAGATGTGGCTGCTACGGGGTTCCCCGTAATACTATAATGACAATAAAAAAAGGCCTGAAAGGCGGTCCTGTCTAGATTCGACAGGTAATTGAATTGGTTGGAATCAGCCTTTATAAAAATAAAAAAAAAGGGTGGTGTACCTTCCCATGTTTAACTGGAAGATTCATTCTCATTTTGCATATTTGGTGAGTAGTGGAGCGAGGTCCATAATCGCAGGTTTTGGGGCCAAAGCATATGGGCCTTGCTCCACTACACCAAAGGCTACATGCATTTGGTAGGCTGTGCTAGCACAAAGTGAGTGTGTGTGTGCGTGTTTGTGTGTGTGTGAGAGAGAGAGGGGGCAGGGGGCTCTGTAGGGCGGAACATATTTTCTGTTGTTGGATGTAGAGATATTTTCTCTTGCAACATTGGCAAGTAGGATTGTCCGAGATGTCATGTCATGGGTCACGCACGTGAGCAGATGTGTATTGCAGGGCTTGCAATGGCATGTGACATGTGACATGCTTGTTCCAGGGCATGTCGACCTTGTTCAATGTTCATAAACATGGCCGTGTTATAGCGCACTGAGAAGGGGCATGAACTCAGTGCAACTTCTTCCAATGTGTTAAGAGAATTGCAAAGCAAAGGTGTCAAAGATTAAGCATGTTACAGGGCCTCGCCACAAATGCAAAAAAGAAAAAAATCCGGCGAGTGCATCTGGCCATGTTGTTACAATATAAGCGGACGGAAGAGAGAGAGTCTCAGAGAAAGTAAGTGAAATCAAATAGAAAAGAGAGAGAGAGAGAGAGAGAGAGAGAGAGAGAGAGAGAGAGAGAGAGAGAGAGAGAGAGAGAGAGAGAGAGAGANGAGAGAGAGAGAGAGAGAGAGAGAGAGAGAGAGAGAGAGAGAGAGAGAGAGAGAGAAAAAAAATAGAAAAGAAAAAGAAGGAAGAGAGAGAGAGAAAGAAAATAGAGAAGAAAAAGAAGGAAGAGAGAGAGAGTGAAAGAAAATAGAAAAGGAAAAGAAGGAAGAGAGAGAGAGTGTGGACCACACCAGAACCGGCCCCCCAATAGATGGCAGGACATATGGAGGCAACCGTTGTTTGGCAACCCCTACATCTTGGACGATAAAGGCAACCCGTTTTGCCTTACAACGAACTCACCTTGGCTCACCTGGGCCAAAAGGGGAGTTTACACGGTTGGAGATCTCTGGGACTCGCTCACGAACGACTGGGCCACGGTGGAGGTGTTGCAACGCAAACTTAAATATATGAAAAATGTGGGACAAAAGGTGCGGGAGCTCAGGGACGCCCTCCCCCTGGCCTGGGGGCAGGCCCTGATAGCCGGACCGGGGATGCAAAAAGGGGACTGGGTAATCAAATATATGGACCTCCCCCTCCCGCTCACCATATATAAAGTTAGTCACAATAACGAAGGGCGTTGTGAACTTGAGGCCAATGACTCCCAGATGCCAGGGGCCAGATTTGCAAAACTCACCCGGAACGAAAACTTGGACACTCAGGTAACTTGGGTGGGATTGGTGCACGTCAGAGTAGTCGGGGACGACCACGAAGATTTTTTCGTGTACGAGCCCACGACCCCGGTGGCCAGGTTGCCTTTTGACCCGGGGGAATGATACTGGCCTGGAACCAAATTCATGCATATCTGGAACTACACTGTTAAAAGGGCCTACAGAGCCTTGCATCCTCGCACACGGATTGATCAGACGTTGACCCGTAGATGGGAGCGGGATTCCCCCCTCGACTCTCGGACAATGGAAGAGCTTCCATG